GGTCTAATTCATCTAAAAGGTGTTTTATAAGGTTGAGGTCAGGACTGTATGCAGGCCAGTCACGTTCTTTCACACTCGCTCACTTATCTATGTCTTTATGGACCTAGCTTTGTGCACTGGTACGCGATCATGTGGGAGCATGAAGGCGCCGTCACCAAACTGTTCCCAAAAAGTTGGGAGCATGAAACAGTCCTAAACGTCTTGTTATGTTGACACATTAAAAGTTCCTTTCTTTAGATCTAAGGGACTGAGCCCAACTCCTGAACAACTACCACACATATAATCGCCTTTCCACCAGAGGCCATCGAAGGTATTGGAACACCTGAATTCAGTAATTTGGATTGGTGTACCTGTCTATAGAGTCCAGTGACAGAGGAGAACACACTGTTTTGTTTACTGTAGCACTACACATCTAACAGATCACATCACGAGAGTGCTTGTGTTTTTCATGGGCTGAAAAATATTATCCATGGTCTGCTGTAGCACACTGAAGTAACATGGACATATTGTTGATTTATGCATCCGTTTTTTTTTAACAGGGGGCAAGAGCCTATCCCAACTGATAATGGGTGAGTCTGTAACAGGACTAATACAGGGAGACAGACAGTCACTCAGCCCTATGGCCAATTTAGAATCACCAATTAACCTGACATGCATGTCTCTGGACTGTGAGAGGAAGCTGGAATAACTGGAGGGACCCAATGCATGCACAGGGAGAACATGCCAGTCCCATGCTGCTGACAGGTTTGAACTAGGAATCCTTGTGTTAACCACTGTGCAATTGTTGAAAATGCACTTTTTTCTCTGGATATCCTAAAACTATTTAATAAAATATTAATTCTGCAATGATTTTCAATGTTTGGCCCATTTCAGTGTAAGTCCAACTATAATAGACCTATAATGAAAACACCATTTAAGCTTGAACTTCTTCTAAAAAATGTATATATTTGTAACAAGTGACACCTCAAATCATTTGGAAGCACAATGCAGGATAATTTTCCATCTCCAGCAACGTGGAAAACAGCATCCGTGGCGAATGCCAGCAGATGGGTCACGTTTCTCCAGCCAATCTGCCGCTGCAAGTGAAGAACATTTAGTCAATAAATTACCGATTGGCAGCAAATTGAACACAGCGACCACGACCTAAGTGTTTCTGACAGACTTCTAAAAAAGAATTACCTACCTGCTTTTCTATGTAATCAAATAACTGTGAATGAGTAATACTTTGTGCCTTCAAGTTTAGGGCTTAGATCAAAAACCTGTGAAATTCAATTATAGAAATCAAATTTTCATGTTTAAGAGCTTGTGAGTCTAAGATACACCCAAAACTGAGCGATGCAGTTTCCCAAAGGAAGCTTAGTATTCTGTAATAGCCCTTTCATCTATTGTCTGCAGTCTTTCCACTTCCTCCACATAACACCCACTCAGACAAAAGCAACAATATCTGTATTGCAGTCGAGCTCCCTGCTGGGCTTTCTCACATTACCTCACACATGGTGGCCTGCATCAGGTCATTCAACCCAACCTCTGGTGAATCCAGGTTACTGGAGATCCGTTGCCCCCCTACCAGCTCTGTGAAGAGGCTTCCGTTGGTGGTGAGGCTTAGGATGTTGTGGTAGGTGAAGGGAGGGGTGCAGGGCCAGGGCGAAGTCATTTTACAGGGATTTCTGAGCATGTGCTTTGCAGTGCTGATGTATAGCATCACTGTCTTTCCCACAAATGCAACAAAATCTTTTGGAAGTGGAAGTGGAAAGGAACAAAGGAAAATAAGAAATACTGTGTGCTGAGAAGTGAATGAAAAAAAAGGATTGGGGGGAGAAAGATAACTAATGGTTTCCTGTCTCCCAAAAGCTACCAGTTGTCCTTGAGCATAGCACCTAATTCCCAATCACTCCAGCAGTGCTGCTCAGTGGTCAGTAGTAAGATTATGATTATACGGGGCAGCTCAGGTGTATAACTATGTAAATGGGGCACAAGGGTATTCCCTTAAATATATATATATATATATATATATATGCAGATATAAAAAGTTATAAGAAAATTGCATTGACCTAAATTTCATATGATAAGGAAACTGAGGCAAACAGACCCAATCTGAAGTGGTGATATTCTTCATTTCTTTCATGAGGTCAGCCCCCAACTTTTTAACATTCATCAGGTCATCCTCCATGGAAAAAGACAGATCCATCAGGTAGTACAGGTCTATGAGGTAGTCCTTCACCTGTTTGAACTTCACCTCAAAGCTCTGGGGTTCTCCTATAGATGGGAAATGTGGAAATTCTACTGCAAAACACACCACAGCTATAAAAGTAGCTCTGTACTATTTGGAAGTGTGATGGCACACATCACACACTGTTTCAGGCTGATTCTGATATTTGTTGATATTTTTATGC